AACCCACAGTTTTTTTGCCGAAGAACCAGAGGACACAGTCTGGGTCAGCCACAACCACAGGAAAGTGAGGGATGAAATCTCAAAAGGGAGAGTCTCAGAGAAGAAAAGCTTTAAACTTTGAGGATACATTCTGCCCAAGCCTCTGGATGATTGCTGACCACACACATGGGACAGACTCAGAGGAGCTTAAAGCTAAGGCTAAAAGGATTCAGCTGAGGCCCTGCCCACCACAGTTGAGATAGAGTTTGCAGCTTGACTCTAACCAAGTTAATTGTTAAAACAAAAACATCAACACTGTTTTACAAACACAACAGAAATCAGGCTCTCCACACAAAATATTCATGATATTCAGAATACAATCTAAAACTTTTTGACATACCAATAACCAGGAAAGGGAAAAGACAATTAACAAGCCAGTCCTAAGGTGATCCATACGTTGGAATTAACAAAACAGAACTTTAAAGCAGCTCTTGTAATTATGCTCAGTAGGTAAACGGAAAAGCCAGTTGAAATGAATGCAACAATAGGCAATCTCAGCAGAGAAATAAGAAATATATATATTTTAAAAAGCCAAATAAGAATTCTAGACCTAAAACTACATCTTAAACTTTAAATATCTCCTGTACAGCTTTAGTTGCAGAATGGAAATGAAAGTGGAAAGACTGACTTTGAAGATATATCAATACAAATTTTCTGAAGAATAGGAAAAAAATATTTTTTAGTGAAAAATGCATCAGAGACTTGTTGGAAAATACCAAAAGGTATAGTATACATGTAATTGGAATTCTTGAAAGAGGAGAGCAAAGGATGAGACAGAATAGATATGTGAAGAGCTATCTGAAGAAATGGTTTGAAAACATTTCAGAAATGGTGAAAGACATAAAGTGTACTGATTTAGTAGGTTCAGTGAACGCCAAACACGAGTATGAAGAAAACTTCACCTAGGCATGTTATAGACAAACTGCTATAAACCTAAGATAAGAGAAAATCTTGAAAATGCCAGAGAAAAGCTATACATTATGTACAGAGGAACAAAAATTTTCATCACTGTGAGTTTTTCTTCTGAAACTGTGGTGGTTTCAGAAGACGTGAAATGGCATAATTAGTGTTAAAAGAAAAAAAAAACCTTTCAACCTAAAATACTATCTCCTACAAAATTATCCCTCAGAAGTGAAGATGAAAAAATAGATTTTTTATAAATCCTAACAATTTATTGCCAGCAGAACTGAACTACAAAAAAAAAAAAAAAAAAAAATGCCGATAGTTTCGTAGCCTGAAGTATAATAATATCAGAGGAAAGCTCGGATCTTTAGGAAGTGGTGAAGAACATCAGGACTGGTATATATCTTGGTAAATATTAAGAAAATCTAGATCATGATCAGTTTAAAATGCCATTAGGCTAGCAGCTCAAGAAGCAGTGTCTCCTAGCCAGTCACTATGACATCTATAAAGGAACATAAAAAGACTAATAGCTTTTAAATACAAGACTGACAAAAAAAAACTGCCAGAATTTGTGATGAATTTCTAATTGAATCATATTAGAGGATGAGCAAACAATAAATGACAACTTTCCATTCTCTACCTTAGGAAATAGGCTAGATCATTACCTCTCAAAAAAGGCCAAAAGGAATTTCATATCTCTATCATTATTTGTACCTCTATTTACAAACCTAGGATCTATATGAACTGGAAAAATAGGCACTGCGACTTGATTTCACAGATTCATTGTACACTTGAGTGCTCATTTAATGTCGTTGATAGGTTCTTGGAAACTGACTTTTAGCAAAATGACATACAACAAAACTAATTTTATCATAGGCTAATTGATATAAACAAGAATTAAGACCCTAAAGCATATTTCTGGTCACAAAAAAATCACCAAACTTCCAAATAAAGACCCGAAACACTTCTAATATTAAACATTGAAATAAATCTGAGCTACACATACATTTAAGAAAGAGTAATGAAAACAAGTGAGATAATCCAACCTGCTTATTTCATTTGAGGGTCCCAGGCGGGACAACCCTGGACAGGACTATATTCCATCACAGGGAGCACACGCGCGTGCGCACACACACACACATACACACATTCACTTGTACTGGGACAGTTTAGAAACACCAATTAAACTAATATGTATATCTTCAGGATGTGGGAAGAAACCGGAGTACCCAGAGAAACTTCATGCAGACATGGGGAAAATGTGCAAAATCCACACACACTGGTCCAAACCAAGAATCAATTTTTTTCTCATTGGTATTACAACTAAACAGTGTTAAATGAGACGACATTATTTGAGGATCTGCTGTATAGTAAAATGGGAGCATTATTCAAAAGACACAGGAAATATTTAAATCTGACAATGCTCTATCTACAAGAGGAATCAGGAAAATATTTTAACTTAAGTGCCTAGTAAAAATCTTAGTCTACAGACAGGTAAGAATGCAAGAAAAGCTTGTTTATTTATTTATCAAATTAGAACCAATCTTGAGGCCCCATTTTGCCAGGCTGTTAGGAAATCAAATTTCCTTCTTTACTGGAACCCCTGTTTTCTTAGGGTAGAACCAGAATACAGGAGATTTTTCTGATGTATCCAAAACAGGTGTTGGGATTCTGACTTTCAGTCTATTGTGGTCATAGCTGACATATTTTCTGTGCTCAGACCTCTTTTACATTCAGAGATACTCATTCTTTGCCACACGTGGGGTGCAGTTGTCTTTGCCGATATGGAAACCTTGGTGCCTAGGAACAAGCCTCCCTAGATGCCATTTCCTCTGGCGCCTTTCTGTTTCCTTTGGCACCTCAACTGAGTGACATATAGTTTCCAGCTCACTGCCAAGGATGCCAGAATCTATCCCCTCTCAAATTTGAGGGAAACTTTTCACTCTGCTGTGCCCATATCCTCTCTCTAGATATACTGCTTTCTCTTCTCCTGGCTCTTATCAAATGAGCTTAGATGTTCATGAATCTCTAAGGTAATCTTGATTTTGGAGTACCTCTGTTTTTAGTTCTGTAAAAATGCCTGAGATTAAGAATAACTAAGGAAGAGAAGTCCTCTATTCTTGCACAGATCAGGAGAAAGAAGAAAATGCAAGAAGACTGCACAAATCAATTTCAATAAATCAACCTGACATACCTCATCATCTGTTTCTTTTTAAAGTAATGTGTGCTGCACATTCAAACAGTAGCTCACTATACAGCAATGAGAATGAACAATCTAAGGCCACGTGCAGAAATATGGATAAGTCTCACAAACATAATGTTGACTGACAGAAGCCAGAATGTACGGTTACATTTATATAAAGACCCAAACAAGAAAATCTATTCTGTTCTATTAGAAGTCAGGATAGTGGAAACTAGTGCCTGAAAAGGAGCACAAAAGACCTTCCAAGGTGATTCATAGTCTGGGTACTGGTCACATGGGTATGTTCAGTTTGTGAAAATTCTTCAAGCTATACACTTACACATTGTATGGTTTTCTCTACGTATCTTGCGACAATAGAAAGTTAAAAGCTACAAACATACTGTATTAACGGGGCAATTTTCTTAACTGCTTTGAAAAATGTTAACAGATCTAAAGAAAACTCACTATTTTTCAACATAGTTTTTTGCTAAATAAATCCAAGATTTAAAATAAATGAACTTAGAAAATTGAGTTAGGAAAGAAGAATACATCAAAAGGATGCGAAGAATTGTGAAAGATAAAAACTGCGTGGTCATTAGTAAAAGAGATGTAATACACTTTCTAATGACCAATCCAGGAGATGGCCGATGGAGAAAATTGCTAAGCAATGAAGTTAGAAAAAATTCCAAATATTTGTTAACTGCATTTTTCTGGAACAAGAAAATGACTATGATTTCCAACTTCTTTAAGAAGTTTAGAAATAAGATTTTAAAAGCTAGTGAAGAACAAGACCATAGAGAAATAAACTTTAAATTATTTTTAATTTAAGAATTAAACATAGCAGTGACTTCAGTAGAAAAATTAATATTACTTTTAAATGAATTGATCTTAATCAGATTATAGTGATTAAGTTTTCTATGAACTAATTACTAAATGGCAATGCTCCTATATGTATAAAGAAATAAATGTTTATTTTCCTGACAACAAACTGGTTTCTAGGCCAGGATATTTCTACCGATAATGCCAAATTTCTCTTTAAACTCAAATTAAGCATACTTCCTATTTGTATGACACTTAAACGATAAAAACACTCTGAGATAATTAGCCTAGTTTTACAGATGTGGAATCTAAAGCTTGGAGATGTTAAATGATTTGAATATGACCATATAGTTTTGCATCTATCCTTGAAACCGGTGTTCGAATTCCAAATTAAGTACTCCTTCCACTCTTAAGAGTAGCATTTGTAGAAGTGTTGGAAAGTAAGAAAATGGGTCTATCTTGGATCCATCCAAGAGGTTTTAACAAAACTAGACTTTAGTATATAGTTTTTCCTAATGAGAAGTTTCACTTCAGAGTTCTCCAGAACCCAGGGATGCCAAGGTTGCAATAGTGTGCAACTACATTCATAACAACAGGCTGTTGATAGATTACTGACCGTCTTGAACATGTTAGTATAAGTATTTTATGTGGTTTAATTTTTTTCTCCCATTTTATTTGATTGCAGTTTTCCAGAACAGAAGGACAAATGGCTTTCCCTCCTTCAGAGGTATTTTTTTTTAGTATCCACATCTTTAATCATTAACCTGTAGTTAAATGAATTTAATTCTCTGCAGAGATGTGTGCCCCAAACGGTTCCCCTCTCCTTAGTAGAAATTGTTCATTCATCCTCAAATAAGCTGTTGTTTAGACTGTACACTAGCTACTGCATACTGTAAGCAATGTTCTCCCATTACATGTATTTCTTACTTTCTCAGAGGGGGAACATTGAGGTCTGTTTAGATGATTTTAGATAGAAATTAGTGGATAATTTCTCCAATCTCTTTTTTTGTCTCCAACCTACCATTTGGAGCTAACAGTTTCCTCAAAGCATGTATTAAGTTTTCATATATGAAGGGTTTTCTGCTGAGCACCTCAAAAACCAATCGTTATTCCTACCTTCGAGCATTCAGGCTAAAAAGGTCAATTTAGATTCATCTCTTATTCCCTTAGTTCTTTCCTCCATTCTTCCCCCTTTCCCTTCCCAAGCAATCAGATAAAGATTTATACTCCACTGGAGAGCAAAATGAATAGTGAAAGGCCATTGTTTTGGCTCAGTCTTGTAAAATATTAGATGTGCTCCTGTACATAAGTCAGATTTTGGGCCTGTCCAGGGAAGCTTTGAGGATAAAATATCACCCAGAGGTGCCTAAATCTGACTGTGCTTCTCAAAACGAACCTCACTTGAAATGGATCTCCCATTTTTTGTGTGTGTGCCCGTGCCTAATGTCCTGATATTTTATTTATCTTCCAACCCATAATGTAATCTGACTTTGCTGAGTCCTTCCATCTGTCTTTTTTTAAATAGCATATAAGTATATTGAAAATATTAGCAAAATGGATTGATTTAAAAATAAGCGATTTAGCAAAATCTATCTGACTCAGTGTTGTTTTGGGTTGTCGTTGCATTTGATTAGATACATCAATGCAGAGAAAGAAAAGGACTATCCGAAGAGCATTCCCCTCAAAATCTTCACCAAGGACATTGGGAATTGTGCATATGTAAGTGTTTCTAAGCAAGAAAATTAAATTCCAAGTCCCCGCATAAGGCAGAACACCATGGATTAAAAAGAGAGAGAGTGAGAATGAGACAGAGGCAGGCAGGCAGTGTATGTGCTTTGCAAGGAAGGCATTAGAAATATCACTGTGGGAAAATGTATTTTCCTGGGTATGTGTATGTCTCCACATATATGAAAAGTAAACCCTAGAGAAAATGATGCAAGAAAAATTCACATTGACCGCAGTATTTAACATTGACACGTGGAAAGAGTATTGCTTCTCAGACGCCTCTTCCACTCCTCTGGCATTGATGTTCCTCTGGACCCTTTCAATAGCAGCTGCAGAGGCTTGTACCAAAGCCGTTTCCACGAGGAGCCGTTTCTATTAGTACTGAGCAATTTTTCCCAACTTATCACTTCTTAAGTAGAAAATGGTTTTGGAAAGTTCTTCATTCTTTAAGTTTTTAGGGACTGAATCCCTCAAGTTAATAAATGGATAAGTTACGGGAGGTGACATTTTTAAGGGATCAGAATATTTCTACCTCACATTTTGCATCATGTTGCTCAAATAAAACTGAAGTCTATTCAAGTCCAGTTATTATGTGTAATTTGATGACTGAAATATAGTACAAGTGCCAAAACGTTATCCAAAATGTCATCAGTGATGAACAAAATGGAAACTTGTGAATGTTTTTATTTTACTATGAATTGTCATATACGTCGCAGCAACTCTAGATCACACATAATAGTTTCCCGAGTGGAAAATGTGTAGTACAAACTGTCGTGATTAGACCCAAAGCAAAAGTTATGCAAATGTTTGAACATGAGAGCCTGATGTCACTGCTTAAGGGAAATACTCAAATTTTATGGTATGAAGACTGCAGAGAGCTATCTCCTGGAGCAAAGTAGCCCAGTCTCCTTCCCCCAGGAGAGAAAAAAAAACAAAAAAACAATGCTTTTTGACTGCTGGCTTTGATTCAGTTGTTCTGGCAATTGGTTACCTTCAGGATTTTCATAGGAAGTCCCTTGAACCTTGTTTTTTTAACACTTTCAGTGAATGGAAAGTGTGTCATTGAGAGAGGACTAGTGACCCACTCTCACTAGGGAAGAGAAGACACACAATGTGGTTGGGTGCTGTTTTTTTTATCACTGGTACCCTGGTTAAATCAACAATGATATGACAACTGTCCTTTCCTCTCTGAAGTTGCTTCATGCCAAAAATCTCCTTTCAGGTAGCCCCGCTTCCAGAGAGAATGATTCCCCCCAAATAGGAGTGCATGCATGGGGAAGAACTCTTTATTCTTGGCCTTTAGTTGTGCAGCCTGTTAGTGAATTCTGTTAAATGGAAAAAAATAGCCACATATTGTCTGTTTATTTGTTTATGTTTATTTGTTGACTGGCCAAAGGGCACTAGTTGATGAAATTTATTTGTTTTGTCTACCAAAGAGGCATGTGGGAAAAAATACGCATCCTAAAATTACTGTTTTGAACATATATGCCTAATATTGAGAAAAATTATCTTAGAAACCAGTTACATTGAGAGTGATTATTTGTACTACATGGTAGTCTTCACTTTACAAAAGACTTCATGAGAAAGTTTCTTTAAATTAAATGGCAGGGTTTAGAGATGTAAAAAAAAAAAAAAGCAGAGCCTGTCATGAAATTATATATCAGTTTAAAGCCCAGTATATAAAACATCTTTGCCACTCTGATAGAAGACAAACACTGGGTTAGTTGGGTGTTCTGTGCCCTCTCGGTTGGGTTTTAAGACACTTTTGCATAATCCTTAGAACTAAGAGGAGTACAATGTGAAATCAATTAACAAACAACCTTAAGAGGCAATTTGTCATGTCAAGTAATCGGCTCAAAGAGAAATAAGACTGTAATGGAAGGATAAGTGATGAATTATCATTGGATTTCACGTAGCTTTATTTTATGTCATTTTTGATTTTATGTCATTTTGTCTTCATTTATGCTATTTATTTGTTCCTGATTTATCTGATAATTATAATATGTAAATCCTGTATGTGTAGTAAATATTTCTTTTTTGATAGCGTAACATTGCCTTATATTTAAACACTGTTGGAATTCAGTGAACTCTATTGCTATTTCAGAATGTGGTTAATCCCTTTTTGTTGTTGTTGTTGAAAAGTGTCTTTCTATTTTTAAGTAATAATTTCTTAATGTAGCGTAGCACAGGGCTATTATAGATACCTTATTCAATGGCAGAGTTGGTAACAGAATTGAGCTTTCTAAAATTTTCAGTCCTCCTTGCTAGACTCATGGATTTTAAGGCCTCTACAGATTTCAGCAACAAAAATCTCAGTAGACACAGTGCCTGACATATAGAAAGTGCTCAATAAATAGTGGTTTTTAAAAATTCTAAACTTTAAATGTCTTTTAGAACCAGTTCTTATTTTGAATTTAGCTAAACTGACTTTTTCCATGCAAAGAAATAAAAACCCACACTGTGAAGACAGTATTCAGGAAGAGAGAGAAAATGATCCAGTTCTCCCTTTTTTTTATTACACATTGCATTGTGGAAATGATGCAACAGATCAACCTCACTGATCTCTGTTTAGTCCAGAGGGTGGTCCATGTACTTTCTCTGAAATATGTTTACTCTTTTTCTTTCTTGCTTAAGTTCTTAGATTTGTGAGCCATGTGTTCTTTCTTTTTTTTTTGAGAGAAATATATGTTTTATTAAAAGGCATATATAATGGAACGAAAGTAAATTATATTCAAAGATTTGTGTTCTCATCAAGTTGTATGCTTTACTCTGTCAACACTTGAAATTAGGATTTGCCTTTAATAATTTGACAATAATTATTTGTTCCTTTGTTTTAAAATCCTTTATTTATAGCGAGATTTCTTTTTCTTTTCTTTTACAGTCTAAAACTATAACAATAAAGAATTCAGATACAGCGAGCGAAGTTATCAACATGTCCCTATCAATACTAGGGATAACTGTAAGTTACTTGGTTAGATATTCTTAATTAACAAACTTTGATACTTTAGATTCATATAAATATTATCCCTTCTATCATAATGCAGCTGATTACTAGAGATAACCAGGTCATATTTTATCCTCAGAAATGTAGACAATAAGGACAGTAAAGACTTGATATCAGCTTGATATTGGATGCTATTCTTTAACTCCCATTTTAAAACCTGTGCAAACTGAAAGGCGTAAGATTGGGCTTAATTTTAGAGTGATGATAAAACTTTTATTGCATTTGCCATATATATACAGTTGGAGAGATTTTTGGTATAAGATTCTTAATTAAGAAATTTCAGCATCCTCCTTTCCCACTTGTCATTATATTACTATTATTTCCCCATATCCTATCCTGGTTCTTCTCCCTTATCTAATTATTCTCTTACTATCTCAAGATTCAATAAGTGTTATGATAATGAATTCTGAAGGATTTTCTCTGTAGCAAAATTTTTACATAAAGTACCCATGGCTAGAAACTATATTCGCTGGCTTCAGGTTCAGAAGATGAGATGGTTGGTACTTCTAATGAATTGATAAATTAGTAAACAAGATTTTAGTGTGCACATCACATTTTCCCCGGTTTCGCTTTTAGCTTCTGCTTCTTTCTGTTTTATGGAGCAAAGACAAGTTTTTTCAAATTGTATTAATGGAGAAGATTTTAATGTTTGAGGATGAAGGGGAAAGAGAATTGGAAAGTTCTCATCTTCTACCTACTGGTATATAAACAACATACATTGAATAGTTGTATTAAAGGGAAAGACTTTCAGAAGGATGGAAACTAAAGGAAGCACTCGAACAGCACCATTTCTTGAGTGAGATTCTCTATAAATATGAAAACACAGTGTTACTACTATGAGGTGACCTATGACATACATTTAATATATGCCATAGTCGTCTTATCTATATTTAGATATGCTTGTACACAGTGCTATAGTAAGCCTTCAGGAACTGAGGGCAACCAATATTAGGCTAAGAAATCTGATTTCTTTTAGTTAAATTTAATAATATATTTAAGGTATAACTAAATTTATGTGCATTGAGTAAAGAAGACATCTGTGCATTGATTTCTAAGCATACACAATTATGTCTTGGAAGACAATGCGTAATTTAAGGGGGAAGGAAAGGAGATTAATATCATGACTTATTTTTTATATCTTTTTCTCTTTGATTAAGTGAGCAATCTCCTCAGTCCAAAAATACTTCTATTCAATATAATATTTTTTACTGTTCTAAAGGATCGTTACGATGTTTTCAGACTTCGAAATGATTTTTGTTACATTGCTCTTCCTATTTGCAATGAAAATTTTTGACTAGGGAATGGGGAAGGAAATGACAAATAGATTGGGGAAGTGAAGAGAGGGGTGTTCTCCATAGACAGGACCCTCCCTTGTAAGGTCAGGGTCATACTTTTTAATTAGAAGATAAAGGTAAGGATATTAATATTGCCAATCTGTTCTAGCTTTATTTAAACATTTTTGCTATTTCCTCTCCAGATACAATCAAGTCAGTATAATTTAGCATTCTTTTTTTCAAGTAGGATTTTTAGCATTGCTAGGTTATAATTCTGCTAGTGAGCAATTCCATCGTTTTCCATCACTAGGCCTATTCTCTAGACAGAAATCTTGTCTTTTCTGTCTCCAGGACTGGACTTGCCCAAAATAAAGCCAGTGCAGATTGTGCCAGGTGCCTATCTCCTCAAAGCCTCTTGGTCATTCTACTTCTGCTCAGAAGCAGCTGAGCGGAAAAGTCAGCCTTTGAGATTTTACTTTTTTATCACAGACACGAAAATGTTTGTGGCTTCCAGGATAACAAGGTTGTTTTTGCAGGGGCATGTTGGAGATTAAGTCCAATATGCCCTGAGAAATCTGGAGACATAGCAGAAGTCAGGATTAGCCTTTTAGAAAATCAGAAAGTTTCTCTTCCTTTATGAAAGGGCAAATATATTATTTCATATTCTGTAGGCTACCCATGATAGTGAGAGTCCGATTTTATTGCAGTTCTTGGATCCCTGGCCAACACCAGGGGACAGGATTCTGGAGGACTCTGTAGGGGAAGAGAGAGTGGGAAGAAGGGTTGTAGAAATCAGCATTATTGTCATCAAAAGCTATAATCACCCACATGAATCTGAAGGCATTTATATTGTCTCCATTTTTATTTTTTTTACCAACATAAAAATACCAAAAAATGTGACCTCATTCAATTACCAAACTTGAAGGAATTATTGTTAATTCTTTTCTTTCTAGGGATCTGAGAGAGACTACCAGTTATGGGTCAATTCTGGCAAAGAAGAGGCACCATATCCACTTATTGGTAAATTTCAGTGAAAATCTTAGATAGTATTTTAATTGGCTTTCTAAATGTCTCAGAGAACGGGTCATATGGTCCTAAGCTTAAATAAGATTAAATATTAAATCTTACATAAAATTTATTCATTTGATAAATATCTATCAAGCATTTCCTATGCGCTAAACAATATCTCTTCACTCAAGTAGCTAGTTGTATAATTAGGAAGAGAATTTTAAATTTTCCCCTCTTCTTTTACACTTTACAAAAAGAGCTATTTTGCCAAACCTTTTTAAATATTTTTCAACAAGAAAGTATTATGAATTGGTATTCCTTTTCCCCTATATACTTATTTTCCATATTCAGTTTTTGAGTTTCCTGCTCCTTTTCCTACCTAATAAGTGGCCTCTACGGAAGACCATCTAGAATGCAATCATGACTCTTACTCTCATAGAACTCTCCTGGATGTCATAATGAAAAATGATATGAACCTGAAGATTCCGAAAAATCTTCACTGACTTACCAACTAGCTAATATGTCACTAATTTACTTTGCTGTTTTTCTAGCCAAATTTCTCAACATTTATTTTGAGGAATTATTGGTAAATAAGTTACATCTTGCCTTATTTAAATCATTTAGCTAAAAAACATTTTTTGATCAGTTAAGGTCATTCAGTGTGGTTAACGAATAGAGCAATTAAAATACGGGACAGTATCTAGCAGATCTTGAGATGATGACAATAATGATGATGACATGGTTTCCGTTCATCATTTTTAAATCCTTATTATCTTCCAGACATTATGCAAAGCATATCATTTGCATTATCTTGCGTAATACTTTTAAATGGCTGTCAGGTCACTCCTGTGTAATTCAGAATGTTTCAAGTGATCCAAATGATCTAAAACCAAATTTTACTACAAAAGTTATATTTTCAGACTTAAAATAAAGGAAGCTATCATGCACATCGCTGAGGACAAAATTCACTGCATTTCTAGTTTCTTTTTTAATGTTATTTTTGTAAAAGTCAAGGAGAAAACAAAGTTGTACTTAAAAATCAAATAAATACTTAAACTGATTTTAATAAAATATTTTAATTGAAACTATGTAGATGGTATCTTTCAGGTTTAGAACAGCTTCTCACTAAATCACTAAAACTTTGTGAGACATAGGACATGACTGATACTTAGCAGCAATTTTTCATTGTATATCTATTTTAACGTGCCTTACATACATCAGTTATAGATTAGCTGCTTACTATTTTGATAAACTGACTTTATCATATTACTGTCAATGTAGCCTCTCTTTTTTTTTGCCTCAGTCCCTGGTATGTGCTGTAGTACATGATATTAATGGAATAGTGACAGTATATGCCTATGCCAGATGGAGGAAAAGGTAGAGTTCACTGAGTTATGTTCAGTGATAAAGCAAGAATAGAAGAGAACGTACTGTCTATACTTAAAAGACAAAATAAATGAACCAACAAAACAGAAACAAACTCATAGATACAGAGAACATTTTGATGGTTGCTAGGCAGGAGGGAGTAGTGGTTATGGGTGAAAAGGGGGAAGGGATTAAGATGTACAAATTGCCAGTTACAAAAATAGTCACTGGGATGTAAAGTACAGCCTAGGGAATATAGTTCAACAACATTGTAATAACTATGTACTGTGTCAGATCTCAAGGTAATCACTTCCTAAGTCCTATAAATATATAATCACTACACTAGACACCTGAAACTAATATAATATTGTCTATCAACTGTAAATGACAAATAAAAGTTTTTTAAAAAATTAAATAAATAAAGCAAACAGGTCAAAATGTAAGGGAAAAAAACTAAATCTACAGCACAGTGTTACTTGCGGACTGAATCAAGAAAAATGCAATTACTTAAAGAACAAAAATTCATGTTTCAGTCAGATGAAAACAGAGTTTGTTTTTCTAGTTTACAGATTCCTTTTTGCATCTTGTTTCTGTTTCTTATTAATACCCCTCAGTCTTCCTTCTGATTATTGCCTATGAATACCAATCTCAGGGCAGCAGTGGGAGGGAAGCAAAGCTCAAACGAACCAGTCCCGATGCTCTTGAGTAACTGATTATGTAACAAATAAAAAATAATAAAATGTCTTTTTCAGACAGACACTTTCTGTTGAATAAGAGTAATGAGTGATGCTTGAAATACTTCGCCCTTATTTATATAATATTAACCGCCAATGTTTACTTATTTGATCCTTACAATACCGTGTGATGGGTAAGGTAAATATTTTAAATCATGGATTTGATGCTGACAGAGGTCAAGAGTTTGCTGAAGATTTATAGATATAGTTAATATATCAAAGGAAAAATTAGAATACCTTTAAATATTCTTAGATGTGAACACAGGAAACCTCAGCATTGTACAACTCATAGAATAATCTGTACATTCCAAACATGATATGCTTTAACGACTGGTTTTTATACCCCTCTCCCCCACCCACTTAAAACTACTCTGGTAGGGCCACTTGCATTATGCAGTGGTCTCCAACTATAAGAGTGTGTGGTGATCATTCGGTCAACAAAAGGATTCTTCATACCAAATGTCCCAGAAGCAAACTGCAGTGCATTTCAGTATGTAGCACACATGCTCACAGTACCAGTCAGCCTAAAGTCTACATTTAGGTTTTACTCTGTGTAGGGCATGAATATCCCTATGGAATTAAAATGAGCCATCTTCGAGACACTGCACTTCTGGCAGAGTTATCAAAGGACTCCACCAGCCCTTCCAGCCTCCAAGAGCCCTTCCTCATAGAACAGCTGCCCCGAGAGATGCAGTGCCAATTCATCCTGAAGCCTAGCCGCCTGGCTGAGACCCAGCAACTGAGTGGTGAGTTGCTTCTCCTCTTTCACAGAGCCCTTATTTTAGTAAAAGTTTCCATTTCTGAAAACAGAGTTAGTACAAAGCATATAGAGCTGCTTGGCATTACTTGTGATCAAATGTTAGTTGTTTTCAAAATAAAACTTTAAAAAACTTCTATGTAAGCACTGTTTTCTTTTGCCTTTTAGGGTGAATTCATTAAGAAACTTCATAAATTGGCAGCAAAAACTAATTTCCAAAGCCATTCAGTGTTCGCTAATAGTGGTTGAGGGCAATTCTTCATAAAACTTCCATTCTCAGCTCTATGTTCAAATATCACTATAAAACTTCACCACTGCTGAGGTATTCGGCTTCTGTTTCTAAAAAAAAATCACAGAACTAGCAACAATTAAGTCCACAAGGATGAGTGAAATTCATTGTTGATACTACTGATCCAGTAACACCTGGTAGATTCAAATAATTCCCACACAGTACCACTGATGAGTAATATAATAAGTAACTGTAAGCATTAAACACATTACATTTTCACAAGCTTTGTGAACTTATACTTTTCTACAAATTATACTTTAATCTGCTCCACACACTTTTACCATCATCATATATAACACATTTTAGCAGATTTCACTTCATATTATACTGAATTATTGTTTTGACAACATCTTTGAAAATAACCTTACATGTGGTTGTTCCATGCATACTATTGAAGACTAATTCTTCAGTCACTATAAGTATCAACTTCTAGAATTAACAACTAAGCAATATTGGTAACATCTGTTGACCAATCAAGAAGCAAAGGAAGTCATTAGAGATCATTTGCCTTGGTTTTTAGTCTACTATTGGTCTTACTTTAATGTCCTCAACTGCTCAAGCAGCTGTTCTCACCAAAAGGCTGACAGTCTTAAATCTAGTGTCTCTGTACAAATTGCTTCACCTACTGCAAGCACACGAGATTTAATCAACTCAGCATTGGTGAATGACTTTCCTTTCCTCACATGGCTAACAAATGAGCCATTCAGAAACTTACATGTTTTTCCAGCCTCGTTTTCATTTTTCATTTTTGCAAAGAAATTCTGCAGTGCTAAAATGTTTTATTTTGAATATTCTAAATTTTTCTGATCATTGCTTTCCTTTGAGTTAGGAATATAGTGATGAATGCTTAGTCTGGCAAGATGACACATATTGTATTCTTTTATCATAGATTTCCTGTCATTTTATAATTAGCAAAAGTCTTTGTCATTTAATCCAATAACAATGGCATCCACACTTTATTGTGCCTTGAAAGCTCAACATTAGAAGTCCATTTCTATCTTCTTTTCTTGTTTAGACGCAATGGGTAATAAAAATACTAAATGTTGCAGTATCATGAGTCACATGGCACTCAAAGCACTGCAGTTGATTGCATGGAGCAGCAATGCACAGCAATGAGAGTACTACCTGTCGTCTCTGTCAAATCTACTCAGCTATACCATTGCGTGTGAAGTAGAAGCAGCCACAGACAATGCATAAACAAATGAGTATGGCAGGGACACGATAAAGCTATTATGGACAGTAAAATTTGAATTTCCTGTAATTGTTATTTGTAACTAAATATTATTCTCCTTTTGATTTTTTCCAACCTTGTAAAACTGGTAAAAAACCTTTCTTAGCTCACATGCTATCCAAAGAAAGACAGCAGGCCAAATTTGGCCTACAAAGCATATTTGCTGCCCTCTGATTTAGATGATAGAAATGCACATTTAATCAAAAACATTTTACTAAATCTCAGATTTCTACCAAATTTTATAACATCACTTCACTCAAGTAACAGAACCATCTCATTTGATGTGTTACATGCCTTTCCTATTACATCTCTGTAGTGTTTTCATTAGAGGTGGAAAAGCCAGATGGAACCTGGAAAGACTGAAGAACTGTAGAGTCTAGAGATTCTAAACATGAAGTTATTGGCTGCTGGTTGATGATGCTCTTCATAATGTTAACAAATAATCTCTACACAGAATATAAGTTTATAAAATACTTGCTTTTAGGCTTCAAAACAACCATGTAAGGTAACATTAATTAATATCCCATCTTAAGAATGAGCACCTTCAGACTGTCCAGGATCACAAAGGATATAATAGGAGAGCTGAAACCTAAACTAAATCTTCTGTCCTAAAATTCCTCTTGTCACTAGACCTTACTGCCATGACTGTGGCCATGTTAGCACTAACTCACTTCATGAAATGGAGACTATTTTACATAGTTATTGTTTGTCATACTGTCAACATCCCCACTGCTTCTGTTCTACTCTTGAATTTTTTTTTAATTTGAAGACAACGTGCCACTATGGAAGGTTGTTTTTAGTACTGTCATAGCTTCATCGTGATAGACATAATATGACCATATGATTGAGTATCAAATTTTAATGTGCATTTATTTTTTTAATTTTATTGAGGTTACATTGGTTAATAAAATTATATAGGTTTGAAGTGTACAATTGCATAATATGCCATCAGTATGGTGCACTAATGTGCTTTTAAAGTCCACACTTCTGTCACCTTCTTTCCCACCTTCTGTGCCCCTTGCCATAAAATAAGCCACAACTGGAATAAAGACTTAACTTAAAATCTCCACGTTTGAGGGAGGCTTTCTCTAGTTAGCTTAAGGAAATTAGATATCCAAAATAATCTTAGGTGAACATAGTCATACCCAATCTGTTTTTCGAATTTCTGCCTCAGTGTGGGGAAGATCTACTAAATACTGTAATAGTAGCACACTGAAAATAGAGTAGCAGTAAGTCTCATGGAAGGCTTCCTCTGTGCTTACATCACTGGCCTTTGGCTTTGGGGTAGCTGGTCCCCACTGAGACAGCTCTAGTGTTAATTGAAGATTCAGATATGAACATTAAAGATCTGACCTCAAAACCCAACTCAAATATCACTTCTAGATCTGTGTTCCTTTGGCCAGATAGTTGTCCCCTTGTCTGTGTCTCCAGAGCACTTCATACATGTCTCCAGTGTAACACATAACAATTACATTATAATGATTTGTTTACATGTTTCACTGTACTGTGGGCTTAAGGCCTGGGAACTCGTAAGAGGGCTAACTAAGTCCAGTGAATAGAACAGAGAAATTAAATGAAAGATTGAGTGGCTTAGGCATCCTAGTATGGAAAACTTGAGTGGAGCAGAAGAGTCTGGGGTTGAAGTGGGATCTCTCTGGGAATGGTCTGAAGTAGCACCTCAGCTTCTAGCCTGACTGAGCTTCTACTTCTGCACCCACAGCAGGGCAACCTTCCATATCTGCTTCAGACCCAGGGCTGACGAGGCTGACTTTTTATGGAGATGGTAAAATATGGGATGCAACTTTTTCCTCTACCTGTTTACCCCACCATTCCAGTATTTTCTATATGTATTTCCTCCTTGGGATTGGTGGTAGGGGTAGAGGGGCAAGGCCGGTGGGAATTCTTAATTTGGGAAGTTGTATGACTAGAATAGAATTTCTAATTAAGCCTTTCTTGTGATTATTATTCTATAAGTACACATTTTTAAAATTTTAATTTTTAATGTTCAGTTCCCTAACTTATGCATGAAGAAATGTTAGCTGAATTTTGCTTGGATTATTTAGGAAAATTAAATTCACGTGAATTTAGTTGGATCTACATTTACATCACCCTTATATTTTAAAAGCAATAGCATGATTTTAATCGTCCTTTGACATTTAGAAAGCAAGAGTTATGTGCTCAAAGCTCTTCAAGAAAGTACACTTTAATGAAATTTCTTTTCAGTCCCACAGGAAACATGAACTCTAAAATTGAATGTTGTACATAACAAAAGGCATGGCTGCAGCTGAAAGTATTTATAATATAGTACAGGATTCGATTTCTACTTTATCCTCTGCCTACACTCATAGGATAGCTGGGCATATAACTTTATGAGACAGCATTCTTCCTAAGAAATGTGTGAAAGTTAAAAAATCAAATAAATCTAAGAGTTTTAGAAATAATGAAATCGGGCTAAATGTGAGGAAACTAGATTGAGTACAAGTGTTCAACATAGATAAACATGCAGATGAGGAAAACATTCGCACAGACTGACATTGCTAGGCACACTGGAGCCCCCTCTTGGAGTTAGGAATGGTTTAGTTTCCTTTTCTGTTTTTTAGAAGGGTATAGCTTGGGAATGTCAGGCCAGGAAGACAGTGCTCTGGTCCAACAGAGTCTGGCATTCCTCCTGGTCTGCAGACTACCAGAAGGCTGTTACATCCAATAGAGAGTGGATGTGGGAGGAGGTTGGTATCTTAGCAGCTTCATTCAAGATCACTGTGACTCATGCCGTGGGCGAAACAGTACTTTTCATGCATTACCCTACTTAACCCTCTCAATAAGGCTTTGAGAGGTAGGTAATATCATTCTCATTTCAAAGTTGAGTAAAGTGGTTGATTTCCCCAAATAAGTGTCTGAGCCAGGAGTCTAACTGGGCTCCTACTCCAGAGCCAAAGACCTTGGGTGTGTGTATATGGACAATGTACTTACTGTATCCTTAGGAAGACTCCCACAACCTGGATCGTGTAGTATTTGGTTTAATTTGGTTATTCTGAGGAGGTAGAATGCTAATGTCCATTATAGACAAACATTTTCTTGAAATTAGCATTCAACTCTGCCAACCATGTCCCCGCCGAAAAGGCCATCCCCTTCACGTTCCATTTTGTCAGGCAATTTTGAGTAGCTAAGCATCATCTCCAAAAGCTTAGTTGGATGTCAGAGCCCCACAGCCAGAGTTTAATGACTAATTCTCAGGCACTTGCCCTGAAGACAATGGAATCAATCCCTGTGTGGGTGACAGCTTAAGGCTCCTCAGATCTCAGTTCTGTTGGCCTTAACTGCTAGCTGTTTTGCATCTACCCCAGGTATGTGTGCTTCAGGGGTCTGAGGAGATCTAGGCAGAATTTATACACAGTATTTGGGGCTCTCACTGTAATTTTCTCTAGGATTTTCTCTCCTCACTTTGCAGCTGCTGTGGTGACCTCCATCTCTGTTCTCTAATTCTTCGAGCCAGTAAGAGTGCAAATTTCTCCCCAAATTTTGTCACCCCACCACCCTGGGGCCTGTCCTCAAGCTAAAAGCTGTAAGAACAGGAAACTTACCTAGTGCCATATCATTTCCATCTGCCAAGTGCCAGACTTTTACCTCGAGTATTTACCTTTTTTTGCTCCCTCCCTGATTTTTTAAAACTTATTTTGTCCAGAGTTCATAGTTGTTATTTGTCCATGCTTTTGGTTAAGGAGGGTGGCAAAGAGGTCCAAATGTACCCTTAAGGACCTGTCTTTTTAAAATATCAAATTCTGTGCACAAGTTTCATGCTAAAATTCAAGACAGACAACATCAAAAATGTTTTAGCACCGTGATATCACAAAATCATGATTCGCTGTTGACCTCTCCCTTCTGCCTATTTTGCTCATGTTGTCTTTTTGTCTTTTTCCACCTAAATCTCTCCATATTTCCATTGTTGTTCAAGACTGATTTCTTGCATGCTTACTCAATAAACACAAGACACAGTGCTGGATACTCCATTGAAATCTTGTTCATTTGAAATCTAAATCAAATATAAACTCCTCTAGGATCACACCTTTCCTTTTAATGGGTAGATGTGCTGTATCATTCTTCTGAATGCCTTTGGTACTTTGTTCCTCCCTTATGACATTTTATTGATTAATATACTTACTTCTTGCCCCCCACCACCAGTCTTCCTCCCCCATTAGATTATAAACCTCACCATGGCAAGGATAAGTCTCACTCATGTTTGCATCCATGCATGCTGCCTTAAACATGCATTTTTAAGTAGAGAACTGAAAAAGTACATGAAAGTCTTTGCAGCTGGCCAGAAAGGGGGAAAATGTAGAACATTAGCTTCTTGTCTCTGTTCTCAGTAGTAGAGTAGGACATCAGGAAATAAAGCTTTCCCTGTTTCAAGAGAACATCTTAATAGAGATAGCTCTATTCCTACTCCTCCCCTTCTCCTTTCTTTGTCTTACTATTTAATTGCGGTCTAATTGACTCTTCAGCTTTCTTGTGTGCCTAGTCTCATCTTTTAAATAGGACAATGTATATGTTGGTATGAAACACTTTTTGCTTTAAGTTGTAGTAAGTGTAGTAAGGGAGACTTTCTTTCACCTTTGAAAATTCAGTGCCAAACAGACGAGTGATGTTCCATACTGGATAGGAGTATACCCCAAACATTCGATACTTTCTTAATTTATGAAATGTTATAATGAAATTTCATAGTTTGAACTTACAGTAACAAAGGATATCTATAACCATGTTTTCTCTTTGAGCCATAGTAATGAACATACTATAAAATGGTAACAATAGAAATAGGGGTAAGTGAATTAGTTTTTCTAATCTCACTTCTTCCTTAGATTCAGGTCAGAAGACATCTAAAAGGAGAAGATCTATCATAAACTGGGTCTTTTGGCGGGGTTCTAGCACTCATCTGGATAACTCACCCATATCACCAACATCTCCTATGCTAGGACAGCTCTTTGGAGTGTCTCTGCCAAGTCTTTGTGAGAATGACAATCTGCCCAAACCTGTTTTGGTAAGTCTTTTTATGACTTGTAAGACCAGTGGGAAAAGAGGTTTAGGAAAGGAGAGAGGTCTATCTCCAAATGGAAATACAGACACGCATGACTTTTGCTGAGAACCTTTATTATTACCACTTTACAGAATAATAATCTGATTAAACTACTGCAGAATCATAAGGAAAACATAAGAAGAAGAGATCATTTAGTCTACTGGTTTCAGGAAAGAGCCGCATAAGCCTGCTCAGGTCATCAGAAATTTGCTTGGTAGATGAGAGGAGTCACGTTGTCTCTTGCATTTCTCTCACTTCCTTTCTTGAACTCTGCATTGTTCTGAAAGTCTTCTGAATAACGTTAGCAGCAGAGACTAATCAATTTTATGCTTTTTAAAAATCTTACATGTGTTTTATTTGTATTTCAAGTGTTCATTCATAAAGATACATCCTCTGACGTTTCTTACATAGAATGGGTCAGGTGAAAGACATTGAGTTTGTCTTGTCTCCAATTGATATATTAAATTATCACTGTTAAGCAAATTTTTTGAGTATCCACTATCCTCCGAGTACTATACTAGATGTATGGCATATTATGGTATATTTCCATGTATATGTGCCAGACACTAGCCTCGCCACTTTATTGCTTACCTTTCACAGCAAATGTAGAGGGTAGTTATCATCATCACCATAAAAAAAAATGCAAGATCACACAGTAATTATGTGCTATAATCAGATTTTAAATTTCATGGGTTGCTTTTCTCCAACACCCGTTCTTTTCCTACACTGAAAACAGAGGACATACAGCTAGAAAGAAAGCAAAATGATAGATTGATCAGGATGGACTGGAATGGAGAAAGCTTCCTGGAGGAGATTTTTTGAGACTGATTTTAAAACACGGAAATAAATACAGAGAGTAGAATGAAATATGAAGACGTATTAAAAAAAGACAAGCAAGTGGAGAATGAGTTTAACAACAATATTTCCATATTCGGGAGAAAGAGTCTGCATGAGAGAATAATGGGAAAAGAGTAGAGAGAAAGGAGAGAGATAGTTAACAGAGACCTTGAAGCAGTCAGAGAAATTTGATTTTAAAGTAGTTACTGGTTCATTGAAACAAGACAATGCCATTAAAGCAAGTGTTTAAAGTAAAATGTTTTAGATGTTGAACAATTAGGAGAAAAGAGATTTAGAAATACCAAAAAACAAATGGACTTTAATCCTTCTAGCAGTCCCTCCATCCCCAGTCCTTCAGTACTTTTCCCTTAGTAGTACATACTAGCTTCTGGAAGCCAAGATATTGCTTATGTGTGTAAAGTGCCAATTTTTAATTTGCTTCCCTATAGGATATGCTTTGCTTTCTTAGTCAAAAAGGACCCCACACAAAAGGCATTTTCAGACTATCAGCCAATGTGAAATCTTGCAGAGAGCTGAAAGAGAAACTGAATTCTGGATCTGAAGTACACCTAGACTGTGAATCTGTCTTTGTGATAGCATCTGTCTTAAAGGTAGGAAAAGGTCTCCCTTCATCCACTGCATGGTATAGCTCTGGAGAAAGACAACTGGTTTCTTTCATTATGACATTATTCCTATCTGCAAAGAACCACAATAGATTTAGAACCTAAAGAGTGTTAAAAGCACTATACAGATACAACATTGGCCTTTAAAAGCCACCGCCAGTGATAAATGTGTGCCAGACATGCTTTTTGTGTTTTCTCATCCCCCCCCATTCTCATCGTCACTTCTACCACTCCACGCAAAAAAAAAGAAAAAAAAAATTAAGTTAAATTAAAAACAACCAAAACACATAGATCATGTTTACCAAAACAAACATCCTGATTATGATGATTTCCTCACAATCTGAGTACGTTCCTAATAAAGGCAAATTTTTCAAAAATGAACTTTATTAAACTTTGAAGAAGTGTACCGAAATAAACGTTTTTCTAGTAACAGAAACAAAAACTTGCTCACTGAAACCACTGAAAATTTCATTCATTTATACAGTCCTCATGCCTCCTCTGTCCACTGATACCTTTTGAAGTAAAAGTGGAGTACGAGTGACTCCAGCATCTGGGTCTTCTTTTATAAAACCCTTCCTGCATTTGACATTCTTCATGGTTCTAACCCTTCAGCTCATGGTTCCTTACATCACATCCAAAATTGGGTTAGAGCTCTTCTAAGATTCTTCTAAGATTCATAATCTGGTTCCACCACACCAGCTCCACACTCTTGAAAATGCCTCCCATTTTTGGAAAAAATAGAGTCAAAACCAGCTTTTAGCAGAGATTTGACCCCAGCCAGCTTCTGCACACCTGCCTCAGGCTTCTAGCAGTGTGGGAATGCACCTTGCCAGGGCCTGCATCCCAGAGCCTGGAGCATAAAAACCAAATGAAGGAAAACGTGGGGAAGAAGACTCTCACATAGCCCTACTCCTGCTGGGCTATCAGCTGATTATGGAATCTTACTCCATGACTGCTCCCAGTCAGTGTTTCTTGGTAAATGGACCATGTCTGCTCTTCAACAACCCTTGCTGTGGGCTTTTGCAATAAAGTATCACTAAAAAGAGCTGAAGAGCTGGAGTTAGGGTCATCTAATCTATTTTGCACAGGATGGAATTCAATCCTGGAATATAATAAAAATATGTATAGTGTGATTTGCCAGATATATGTCAGGAATATCTATATGAGATGAAGTTTTCTTTTTTTCTTTTTTTTTTAGTCATATAATGAGGCTTTCTCCCTTCTCTTAATTTAGGAAATTAAAGCTTCTGTTTTAGAAACTGTTTCTTACTCTGCTATTCTTTACAGCACCACACTTGTTAAACTTTTGTGATAAATTGTCAAGGCTGTTACACAGAAGTAGGATTCTAGAAGAGTTCAATTATATTTCAAATAGCATAAATATTACTTGTACAAAAATAAGCAAAAGTAAAAGCTGATCCAAATGATTGAAAGGTCTAGTTAAACTGGTTCCAAGTAGTTTTATAATCATGTAACTGTGTTTTGCTCTCATTTCTTCCAAGTAGTTGCAGGAAAGGAGGTACTTTTTGAAGAAAAAAAAAAAAAAAATTTGAGCATTTTTTTTGTTTCTCATTTTTAAGACTTTGGAAGTGGTACTTAAGTTTTCCTTTAATTTTTTACTTAGCTGGTTTCACATAAATGTGAGCTCAACTCTTCAAACTATAATTGAGAAAAAAATTCTGGAAACACTGTAACTTTGATCCATCAGACCTTTGAGGGAAAATCCATTTTTAATCCCACAAGAATCTCATCTCAAATGAATTTGGGAGTTCTGCTGATGACCTAGGATCTGGCATTAGAGAGAGGAGACTTTCAGTTGAGTGTTGTTGGTGATTATAATTCAGAAACAGCCCTCCCATCCTTTCTCAGCTGTGATGGTGGTTGTATTTCGTAACTTGTTGTTCCAGCTGTGGAGAGTTCATTGAGATGTCATGAGTTATTATCTTTCAAGAGTAGGTTTAAGATTTAGTGATGTTTTTCTTCACGAGAGATCATAAGTATGTTTTCCACTGAGATTTAAAAAGATAGTTTTTGTCACTGCCCCACTTTAAAATAGCAGATTTTGCCTATTTCAAATCTGACTTTTAAAGTAGGTGTAGCAACTAAAATTAGTTTGGAATTAGGAAAATTCAATAGCTTTACTCAAAAGAGGTAACTTTTGTGAAGACTCATCTGAATCACAAGTATCCAGGTACACTTCTACTGGAACATGTAACAGAACAAAGAAAGAGTTTGAATCAATCATTTTCTGACTTGTTCACTATTCTTTTAAAAAATTGTATCATGTTAGGTGACATAACTACAAAGAGATTTTCAATATTATCTTAGAATTTCTATCATAATGAGTTGGCCTTTCCATGTCTCTCATTAATATTTGTCCACATGGCAAATAGCAATAGTTCAGTAACAGTAACAACTGCTACAGTCTGGGACTGTGCTTGGCACTGGGGTGAACCAGAAGAAAGTAAGGGTCTGCCCTCATGGCCTGGAGGAGCTCGTAAGCTAGTGGAGAAGAGACACATGTGATCAGCCTCCTATAAAAATGAAGTATCACAGCTTTCATGGTAGTAATATAAACATGACATATAAGTAACCAGTTTTGTACTGTCTTTTGTTAAAAGCACATGGGTAAAGTTGCCGCTTGAGTTAAAATTGCTTGATTACAATCTTTTACCTGTCTCCATGTTAAAAGCAGAAAATTTTAAGATGATCCAACCATGGGTATAGAGTTAAGACATGAAATTGAATTTGCTCTGCCTAAAGTTAACTGAGGTGGAGATCAGACTTTGCAAGTTTAGCCTTGTTAATCCCATGCCAAAAGCAACAGAGAGGGTTGGCTTAGAACAGAAACGAACAAGGACGAGAACCGAATTTAGTTTATTTTTAAGCTTTTTATAAACAAAGGTCAAACAACAAACACCCTTGGCCATATACTACTTGTGTCATAATCTGGTTCCACCACACCAGCCCCACCAGTGATCTCAGCAAAATAGGGTCAGGAAAGCCAGAGAGGATGATGTGCTGGGGACATGTTACTTAGAGTACATCAGGCATAAGGGTGCTTCCCTAGGTTCTCAGAGCACAGCCATTGCCTGGAAGGTTTCCTGCCCGCAAAATTGTAAGAACCCATCTATGGGGAACACAGGGAGGAACCTTAAGTATCTCTAGATGGAATTGTTTACCAATGTCACTGGAATATAGTGTTTGAAAAATAACAAGAACTTTGTTTTATTCACTGCTCTGTCCCTAACACCTCAATCAATGCCTCACATATATGAGTGAATATGTATAGAATGATTGGATAACTGATCATGATATTTTGAACTTCATAAATATCTTCATGCATTTCTTTGAACTAGTGATCAAGAGGAGGAAAAAAGAATTTAGGATGATTTGCTAGGCCCCGTCTCAATGTACTAGTTTGCTAAAATGTACACAAACAGGAGATTTTGGCCCAAAAGAGTTGTCCTCTGTCTTTCCCACTATATTCCAGACTCCAATTCTTACTCTGGTTTTTGTTAGAAAAAAAATCAAAATGTATTTCGACATATACACATCAGTGGAGAGGTGGCATAGAGGTCTGTGTGTTCCAAAGAAGGGAAGACTTATATGAAGTTTTCAACAAATTTCAACTCATTTTTTTCATCCAATTTCTCCAGTACATATTTAGCATGAGAAAAATGATTTAAAATATTTATTTTTCTCTCTACGTAAGGATTTTCTACGAAATATTCCAGGAAGTGTTTTTTCATCAGATCTCTATGATCATTGGATCTGTGTAATGGATCAAGGAAATGATGAAGAGAAAATAAATACAATTCAAAGGTAATTATTCTAATTTGGTCATGTCTCAAAAATGCTTTTAAAAAACTTAAATTTTATAAGCTTGTCTATTAAAGGAATGATGACTATCAAAATCACATCCATGGGGACCAATTTAAAAATGGATTTATGCTAGCTACTCTCACTGTTGTTATTGTTTTCTCCTTGTTAACATGGACTACTTGACCATCATGTACCATCTATACGTCTAAATCTGAGAGGAGCTGAAACCCATTAGAATGACAGCTAACACTGTGAACCCAAATAGCAATTTATGAGCTCAATATTGGTAAATATTTAACTAACCAGACAACTTATATATCTCATTCACCAGCTGAATTCATACAGAGAAAATTTCCTCCCTCAAGGAACCAACAGTCTGGTAGAGTACATAGATAAAACAAATATTACAATTAAAGTGCAGTATAATCATTACTATAAAAGAGATATGAAGGAGAGTATTGTGGGAGCACTGCGGAGAGGCAGTTAACTCTGAAGAAGTGTCAAGAAAAAAGAGAGTTGCAAAATTTCAATCTGATTACAAAGAAGCATTGTCTGTACTCATGCAAAAGGAAGTTGCTGGCAGACCTCAACCAGCCCTATGTCCTGCATTATAGGAGAGGAGAGAATAACTGTCCATTAGTGAAAAGCAATACTTCCAGGTCTTTGAAAATACAAGAATCCCAATATTACTTTTCCCATATGCTTGTTTAGTATAGTTTCTTCTTGAGCAGCTTTCCAATATGAATGATTATCCATGGACTGTATTTGATAGACATCTTTTTTTATATATATAGAAGAACGTAATACAAGTATTGGAGACACCAGAAGTCAAAGCCATGTAACAAAATACTGTCTCTGCTTCCACTATGTTTTGGTGGAAACCACTTGGAGATAGTGAACATCAGATTCTATACTTGATGCTCATTGTCTAAAACTTTATAATGTACTGTTAAAGGATGATTTCTTTTTTAAAAAAAGTAAAATTATAACTCATACAAATATAAAATGAACACAGATGAAAGATTTTATTTAAATCATTAACTAATGAAAATTAATAAGATATAACAAGCAGTTCAAAGGAGATTTCAAAGTATCACAACTTATGTAGTTGATTCAGAAATGCTGAAATGAATTTACAAATAGCTGCAAAACTGGCTTTCTCTATTGGGGCATTGGGAGGTGGAGATGGGCACAAATAAATCATGTGTTTCTCCACCAGACAGAATTTTCAGTTCTATGAACAAGGTTTAGATGCACGGCTATCAGTTATCTGCAACTTAGAGTTGTAAAATTAGTTTAAAGGCTTAAGGCCTCCATAAATCAGATAACCCAAAAGAGTGTGCTAGATACACAAAACCTTACTTTCCATTGAATACACTCAGTAATCTTTTGGTCCATTACAATATCTTTCATAATTTATCCCTACAGAACTGTGTTTGTTTTCCATTCGTTGAACTGAAGAAATGACTCTCTGCTACAGAAATCAGATCACTTGATTTTGTGCCCTAGGTTGCAGATTCTTGCTGAAAAAAGCAACAACTATTAATATCAACATATATATGTTTTTAGATGATAGTAAAAATCATTTTCAATGAATGATAATTTAAAAATCTCATCGATTACAAAATAGAAACAGTTGGAAATTACTGTGATAAGCTTGATTAAATGTGACAATAATACCAGTGAGATCAGAGAATTGGGACAAAATGGACTTTGGAAGCTGGTGGAATAGAGCACAAGTTCTCAGAATCGACCTGGAGTCTTAGTAGTAGTTGAAGTTTGGGTTCCCACTAAGAGGCAGAATTCCTGTGTTGCTGCTTGGAAATAAAGGAGCACTTTAAGTTTAATGGTTGTTTGATTCAATCAGAAAGCTCTCTGGGGTTGACAATATTCTGAACTGTTATAGAATGTGCCTAAGTTGAAACACGTTGTGTTAGTTTCAGGTAAATATTTCAGGTAAATATGGACCATTTTTCTGCATTTCTTTACAATTTCATTGAAAATAGTGTACAAAATAAATGCATAAATAAATATCCTGGCAGTCCTCACTTTACATGGTTCCATGTTAACTGAAACTCACATATCTGGACTGTGTTCTTGCTTTCCATGGGGAACCAAAGTGAGGGTTTCCTATTTATACACATGTTTTATTAAACATCTGGCTTAAAGAACACATTTTTCTGTCTTTAGGCTGTTAGACCAGCTCCCAAGAGCCAATGTTGTTCTCCTAAGATATCTTTTTGGAGTATTATACAACATTGAGCAACAGTCCTCATCCAATCAGATGACTGCATTTAATTTAGCGGTGTGTATCGCTCCAAGCATTCTTTGGCCTCCTACTTCATCCAGCCCAGAATTAGAAAATGAATTTACAAAAAAGGTAATGAAGTTTTTTATCTTTATGCCCTGGGAGATCAAATCCCCATTTTGAGTCTAAATTTTGGGTATTAATTCTTAAATGTATTTAAGTAACTTATAAAGTTGAGTTCAATAAGTATTTTATCCTATCCTCATAGACTATAGAAAAGTGATTTATAAGCAGAAAAGTGATTTATAATCTCCCTTTGAAACAAAATTGAGTTACTTCTTTTTCCCTTTAAAGAAGCAAAACACTATGACTGACTGAAACTATAAAGTGATAAGAAAGTAGTCGACATGGTTTAAAAGAAGAAATAAGGACTTTGGAGTCAGACGAGCCAAGGTTCAATTCTCAGCACCACTACTTGCCAGATGTACAATCTTGAATAAAATTAGTTACCCAAGAGTTTGGAGAAACACGGCAGAGTGAGAGATGTCCCCAGATCTCTCCCTTTGAAACAACAATAAGCTGAACATCTACTACTCAACAAAAAACACCCAAACTGCACACCAACATGTCTGAGCATGGGATCTGCACATAAGAGCTACCACAGTAATTGAAAAAACAACTAAGTGAGCAGAATGAGTTCTTTAGCAAGGAGATTGAAACCCACAAAAAGAACAGAAATAGACCTTCTGGAGATAAAAAAACACACTGCAAGAATTGAACAGAAAGCTAGAAATAAATCAGAAAGAGGAAGAGAGAAACCAAAGAATGAGAAATAATGAAAGAGAAATTCAAGAACTAGCGGATACCATCAGGAGAGGAAAATAAAATAAATGGGCATTATTGAAGGCAAGGAAAAGGAACAGGGATTAGAAAGCATTTTCAGACAAATAATTGACAAGAATTTCCCAAATCTAAAGACTGAGCTGGAGCTTGGAATTCAACAAATCAACAGAACATCCAATTGCCTCGATCCAAAAAGGCCTTCACCAAGACACATTGTATTAAAATGACGAAAAATCAACAACAAAGACAGAATTCTCAGGGGAGTCAGGGAGAAGAAAACGGTAACTTATAAAGGCAAACCCATTAGATTATCCGTGGACTTCTCAGCACAAACCTTACAAGTCAGAAATAAAAGGGATCAGATATTTAAACTATTAAGTAAAAAGAACTACCAGCCTAGAATAATGTATCCAGCTAAGCTCTCCTTTAGATAAAAACAAGAAATTAAGACCTTTCCAGACATACAAAAATTGAGGGACTTCTCCACTACAAGGCCTGCACTATAGGAAATACTGAAAAGAGTCAGCTCACCTAAAACAAAATGAAAAAAAATTACATAATTAGGAGTAAGGGCTCTAGCAGGCTGATAGAAGCAGAGGAGTGCAACCCTTAATAGGAACAGGCATTATAAGCTTAAAAATAAGAAGACATTTGCTATACCAAGATATTAATGAACATTCACCATACAGAGGGACAAATTAAGACAGCAATGACTGAAAAGGGGAGGATTCAAAGATCTGTATTTGCAAAGGGGAATGGGAATTAGCCACATGCAGAAGAAAAGGGACAATTGTGTGTGTGTGTGTGTGTGTGTGTGTGTGTGTGTGTGCGTGTGTG